TATTAAAAATGCACCTGCTCAAGGTCAAACTGTAAAATAAAAAAAATCACCTTTTAAATAAAGGTAAATAAATAAATAAATACATCTACTCTGTGCTCTATATCTGCTCATTGTCATTAGATTACTGCAGTTCCTACCTAGATGTCTGCTTATACAATTGTTTTATAGTGTTGTTGTATATTTATGACAGTTTAAATTAAAATGTATTACTATAATCAGATATTTTACAAAAAAAATTAAAACGAGGTTAAACCTTGTGTCATCACTCTTGAAATTAATTAGACGAAGCAAAGAAGCATCACTCCTCATAGACACACAGCTGGGCTCTGGTTCTGATTTCTTTTGGTGAACTGAACTATAACAGAGAGTGTGTGAGAATGTTAAAATATCAGATGCAATAAAATAATCACATGATAAAACAAACAAACAACTATTTCAATTCTGTCTGTTAATGAAATGTTGTACCTGATATTTTGGGAATGATCTATAGACTCATCACTCTTCATAAACACACAGCTGGGCTCTGGTTCTGATCTCTTATGATGAACTGAACTATAAAAAATAACCCTTTGAATTACTGTATTAATATTAACTTTTGACTTTAAAAAATTATGATCTTTTCATCTTTACCATGTTGTATAAATAGACTATAAACTAAAGTTCTTTCATAGACTCTTCGCCATAACTACGGATGCCATAATAACATGAATATGTAATATAAAATAAAAACACAATACCAAGGAGATTGGTAAAATAATCCATGTGACATCAGTGGTTCAACCATAATTTTACGAAGCTACGCGAATACTTTTTGTACACAAAGAAAACAAAAATAACGACTTTATTCAACAATTCGTCTCCTCCACGTCACCGTAGCGCCATTTTGGAGAGTATCCACTGAACGCAAACGCATTAAAATCAAAGTGTAAATACATGTAGAAAACGTGTGGTGTGGCTGACACAGAATCGCATTTGCAAATTTTTGGGAGAACTAACCCTTGAACATATGCATATCTATGAAATAAGCTACTTAACAAAAATACATATGCAAACTTATGTATAAAAATTTAAAAAATAGGGCTGGACGATATGGCCAAAATTTATAATACAATAT